AAACCCTAACTGCTCTTTCGGCGGCCTCGCTGGGTCTCCCCAGACTCCGCAGCATTGCAGCCCCACCCTCGGGCCCCTTCCCAGAGGCCTGGCGGGCGCAGGAGCAGGAACAGAACAGGCCTCACCTGGGCCCGCTCACCTGTGAAGGGGTCCCAGACGTGCACAGCCCCGTCACAGCTCACCACGTGCTGTGGGGCCTCGAGCTGGCCCACGAAGAAGACGCTTTTGCGGTGCTGGGTGTAGATGAGACGTGGGGCCGTCTCGCTGGTCCCGTCGCCGTAGTTGTACAGCGGCCAGAGGCGCACGGTTCGATCCTTGCTGCCGCTCAGGAAGAAGTCCTCGCTACTCAGGGGGGCCACACACTTGACGGCCCCCGAGTGGCCCGGGAAGCTCTGCAGGCGGATCTGGTGGAAGTGAAAGTGGGCGTCCTGCTGGCTCACGCCGATCTCGTACTGCCAGTACGCCAGCCAGTTTCCGCTCAGCCCGTGGGCGCTCCGCGGCAGCTCCTGCTTCAGGGCGTTGTCCTCGCTCCCGCTGCCCAGGCCCCCGCCACCCACCCCCGAGATGGGGCCCAGCGGTCCGGGGGTCTCAGGCCGAGAGTCATTAGGGATCTGAATGCGATTCCCCACCAGGACGCTCCCAAAGGTCCCTGAGTGGCCGTCATCCTGAGGGCAGCCCCCACCCTGGGGGTCCCACTCGGGGCCGGTGCTGGGCACGGTGGGCTCCATGCTGGCAGGGTTGCGACTGCTCGGGCTGACACTCTCCAAGTACAGCCCCGCCAGCTCCCCAACCAGCTCGTGGTTGGGGATGATTTTCCGGATGATGTCACCTGGATGGGAGTGGGAGAGGTCCTGAGACAGGGAAGATGGCAGGCGGCTGCTATCACCCATCCAAGGACTCGGGAGCCACAGAAGACGGGGCAGGAACTGGCTCTGCAACTCTGGGCAAGTAACTCTGTCTCTGAGCCTCAGTTTCCTCCCCGGTGATATGTGCATTCATTCCGTTGTGATGTACACATGAGCGTCTTCTCTATGTGCTGTGCCGTGCTGGGCACTAGGAATAGAATACGGAACAAGACAGGTGGTGCCCTGGCCTCCCAAAGCTTAGATTTCAGTGGCGGGATGATAACATGTGTCACCACAGGGCTGTCTGTCCTCTGCAGGGAGATGACACGCTGAAACGATTAGCACAGCACCATGCAGGGCCCAGAGGGGAAGCTTCGTAAACAGGAGGCCCCTCCTTCCCTCTCAGCTCCTGCAGCCAGCCAGTCCACCGCCCTGACTCTCCTGCCTTCCCCAGGGATGCTACAGGCCAGCTCCTGGGCCTCTCCTGCTGGCTACTGCTCAGTCCCTGTTTGTATGTCACCTTGGAGGTAGGGGTCTGAGGCCAAATCCCTTTGCTCTCACCCAAAAAAACTGCTTAGAACCCACTGCTCACTCTGGGGCAAGGGCAGAGAATGGGGCCTCCCAAGGGAGGAGACAGCCACGAAGGCTGTGACGGGGAACGTGATGGGGCAGTACCCAACAGGCAGGAGAAGGGCACGTAGATTGTGTACGCCATCTCCAGGGTGAACACCTTCTGCAGCTCGTCCAGCAGGGCAGGGTCCACGGGCCGCTGCTGCCCATCAGAGAAGACCACCTGTGGCAGCTGGCCCTCACCACGGCCCGCGGGGTCCAGCTTCAGATCCTGTGAGCGAGACGCCCGGGAGGTCAGCCGGGTCCACCGCCCCCACCCCAGCCCGCCCTGGCCCTCACCACGGCCCGCGGGGTCCAGCTTCAGATCCTGTGAGTGAGACGCCCGGGAGGTCAGCCGGGTCCACCGCCCCCACCCCGGCCTGCCCTGGCCCCGCAGATCTGCCCACCTGTTGCCGAAGCTCATGCAGCTGAGAGAAGATCTGGAAGAAGGTGGCCACAGGCTCGCTCAGGTGCTGCTGGACCATCTCCTGTCCGATGCGCAGGCAGATCAGGGCGATGAGGCTGATGGTTTTCACACACAGGATAGTCCGGGCCTGGGCCCCACTTGGGAACCTGGAAACAGAGCTCATGAGCTCCAGTCCCCGGTTCTGCAGGACTTGACCAGAATCTACCAAAAGCTTCAGTTATTTTTACTGAGACGGAGTCTTGCTCTGTCACCGAGGCTGGAGTGCAGTGGTGCGACCTCGGCGCACTGCAACATCTGCCTCCTAGGTTCAAGTGATTATCTTGCCTCAGTCTCTCGAGTAGCTGGGACTACAGGCATGAGCCACCATATCTGGCTAATTTTTTTTGTATTTTTAGTAGAGATGGGGTTTTGCCATATTGACCAGGCCAGTCTTAAACTCCTGACCCTCATGATCCACCCGCCTCGGCCTCCCAAAGTGCTGGGATTACAGGTGTGAGACACCATGCCCAGCCTTTATATATATTTTTAGAGATGAGGTCTCATTTTGTTCCCCAGGCTGGTCTTGAACTCCTGGGCTCAAGCAATCTTCCCGTGTTGGCCTCTGAAAGCGCTGGGATTACAGGCATAGCCACCACACCCGGTCATATCAAAAGCTTTAAAAGAAAGGAGCTCCAAGACCAACTGGTCCAAACCAGATGAGGAAACTGAGGCACAGGAAAAGGGTGTGGCTTGCTCAGGGTCAAAGAGCGGGGATCAAAACCAGGACCCTTGACACCCAGCCCAGCGTTACGTCCTCTCCCCTAAGCTTCCCAGCCCGTCCTGGGCAGCCCCTCCGCTGGGCCGGTCCCCCTACAGCGGCTGGGGCAGAGGCCTACCCTGTGACGAGGGAGGTGAGGAAGCTGAGCACGGGCAGCAGGACCTCATGGCTGATCCGGGGCAGGATGTCCATGAGCGTGGTGTCTGAGAGGCACACGATGATCTTCTGAGTCAGTGTCACTGCGGCCAGCAGCCCTGCCTCCTTACGGCTGTTCAGTCGGCTGGGGCCTGAGGCACTCCCTGGGGCCACCTAGAACCACCCAGCAGATGAGGGCCTGGCAGCCCCAGGGACCCCCTGGCACCCAGAGACCCCGGGTCGGCCCTCAGGTCCTCAGCCTTCCCAGCCCCGGGTCTGCCAAACCAGCGACTGACCAGGTAGCTGATGTAGGGCAGGTACTGGTAGGTGAGGACGGGCTCCCCATACAGGTGGGCAATGTGGAGGAGACAGCTGAGCACCGGCCCTGACACGATGTCGCCCAGGACCGGCCTCTTCTGGTAGATGTTGCCGGCGCTCAGCGGAGGGCTCTCGCCACTGCTCACCGTGAACTGCTGCCGAGTGGGTCCTACCAAGGAAGGGCCAGCAGTCCTGAGTCGCCAGTGGAGGGCCGGGGGGAGCCTGACCCTGCAGGGCTGTACTGGCTGCTTGAGCTCACTCTAGCCTGGGGACCAGCCTGGCCCTACCCAATTGCTGGCGCTTACAGACTGGGACCCAGCACCTGGCCGGTGGGTGATTTGAGCTAGGGGTGGGAAGGATCCCCGCTGGAGAGGGCTTAAGCTAGGCAGAGGGCCTGGGAGAAACCCTCATCTCCAGCACCGACCACAAGCCTCCTTACCAACATAACAAGACGTCAGCAGGCGGAGCAGGTTCCGGGCCACGTGGCGAGAAGCCACTGTGGGGCCAAGCTTGGCAGACAGCCAGCGGACCATCTTGCAGGCTGTATCTGTGGGGTGGGAGCAGGCCCTGAGCTCCTCAGATAACATGAGTTCATTACCCCTCCCACCCCACCCCACGGCACCCCAGCTCTGCCAAGAGCCCAGCCCAGGCCGGCTGTCCCACACCATCCCCCTCCACATAACAGTGGCAGAGGTGCCTAGGCCCTGGCCTGTGGGACTCTGGCTGCTCCAGGCTCCTCTCCACAGGCAAGACCTTCAGGAAGTTAGCCTGCCCGTGGGTCTTCTGAAGCTCCTTAACGAGGCCTGGCCCGGCCCTGGCCACCTCCCTTCTGGCCTCTCTTCCCTCCACTCCCTCGGTCTCCCCATAATGGCTGTTCCCTGCTTTTCTTCTTTTTTTTTTTTTTTTTTT